GCTGTTTATCTACTTTTGGTTGAAGTCCGAATACGGGGATAGTGAACTAATTCCCCGATATTTGCTTACTAGCGACTTCAAGGTCACTACTTATCGCAGAAAAATGGTGAACCTAAGGACGGTAAATGGGGAAGCTTATAGAAAGAAGGAAAAGTTAACGGTAAGTAACAGCAGACTGGGTTAAGACCAGGGTCAGATAAGCTCAGTAAGTTAGCTTCAGCAAATTACTGGACTAAAAATTTGAGCACGTGGATCCTTTGTGGTTGAAGTCCGAATACGGGGATAGTGAACTAATTCCCCGATATTTGCTTACTAGCGACTTCAAGGTCACTACGTTATCGCAGAAAATGGTGAACCTAAGGACGGTAAATGGGGAAGCTTATAGAAAGAAGGAAAAGTTAACGGTAAGTAACAGCAGACTGGGTTAAGACCAGGGTCAGATAAGCTCAGTAAGTTAGCTTCAGCAAATTACTGGACTAAAAATTTGAGCACGTGGATCCTTTGTAGCTCCTATCGTCTTCCAGAAAATACGATCCTTCTTAGATCCTACGGGGAAGCCCTATTGATTGGACCAGTGTATTTGGTATGCTTTCCTAACCCTGAAGGTAGACCTTCTGTGAGCAACAAATACCGAGGCAAAGCTGCTAGTTGGTCCCATAAGTACCCTCACACTAAAGTTTCCAAGTCTGATGGTGTTTGTTTGACTGAAGCCAATTACAATTCAGGCACAATGTCATGGGTTAATTTCGGGGACATGAGACAAATCAAATTCCGGGTCCGAAGTAGAGGGTTTTCTTAGGGGGTCCCCACCAAAGCCTGTGGACGGGACCGCCTTATCCATAAGACGGTAGAACGGAGCACGCGGTTTACTACCCAGTGCGAACCACTGGTTAACCACAGTTCATATGCTGTTTGGCTAAACTACAACCATCCAAAAATACACCTAGTGACCTCGTTTGATGATGCCTTATACCAGTTTGAACCGGACGAAATCCCATACACCATAGTTGTCATCTGTAAGAGACTAGTGGCTACCCATTTGAAAAAAAACACATCACGGAAGCGGCCGATTCCTCGATTTCCCTTAAACCTGGTCAGTCTGAAATCTCGTTTTGCTTGCTTGTCTATATGTGCGTGACTTTTATCTTGAGTCATTGGACAAGGGGGCATGGCAATAACGATGTAGCATGGAAACGTCAGTTGACCTACCACAGTTTACAAGTTTATTTTTGAGTAATTTTAGACAGCACACCACCGCCTTCACTGTTTTTGGTGCTTACTCGTTCACTCCGAATTTCCGTCAAGCTTATTTCGTGCTTGAATACAAAATAAGATCAGTGTGCAGATAAACTGAGTTGAAGTTCTCCGCAAACTAATCTCCATTGTTGCGTGTCTGCTATCCTTTTTTGTGTTCAAAGTATGGTGGTTCTAATGATGCAAAAATCAGGTAATTTGACCATATTTGCTCCGGTCTTTGTAACTTTTCAACTTACATGCTTGGCCATGAATCATGGTGGCAGTCCGCGTCAAAATGCCAACAAAATGTTAGCTTGGCTGAGGAAAAACACGAATACTATAGAGAAATTTATTGTTGATCCGTGGTTAAATGATTCGATTGTTGTCCCACGTGCTGACACAGAAGAATGCTTTCGCTCTGTCAGCTTTCATCGTGCACTGTAAAAACTGATCGATTTAGCTATTGATCGGTCATTAGTCGCACAACATATCGCAACTTGTTATCGATCTGGACCATGGCAACAGTGTTTGCGCCCTTCGTTGGACCCTCAGTCATTTTTACGTCTTCTCAGCATACCTTTGTCTGCTCAGATAATGGCACGTCTTGAATCAAACTACCCACAATCTGTCGTCTAATCATATTTTGTTCATGTTTTTGGAATCCAGACAAGGTAGTGGTAACCAGGCTTCAAAATGGATCAATTAACTACCTGCTTTCTCCGATAAGTAAAATTCACCGACTCATACCTTAGATTATGGTTCCTAAACCTTAGGTTCATTAATCTATATTGAACCAAGATTGGAATTCACGGAAAGCCAAATGAAAAATCTAGTCAGAAAAGTTAACCTCCAAGAGAATGGAGGTGCAGAATAACTCGTCTTTAAAAATTCTTCGTTAAGCAAAAACTAAGATCTAATGGTGTCTAGCTGGTTCGAAAACAGGATGCAAACTTGTTTTAGTGCTTCCTTTTTTGAGCAGCTTCTCGGCCGCGAATTTCATTTTTTCTCTGTGCCCAACTTTGATTTGCTTGCAAAAGATGACTGTGGAAAAGCGAGGGTTTCTGCTGAAGCACGTTGATGCTGGTGGGTGGGAATAAAGCAGTAAATTGAGCCGTTCCAGTTACCGAATAATCGCGGATTTCAGCTGGTCAGTAGAGGCGTTCTGTGAAAAAGTGGGCCAATTACCCAGTTTTTCAATAGGAAGCCATTACATGGAGTGAAAAGAAGTGGTTCCCCAGGTACTAGTGGAAGCTTTGAAGAAAATATACGCTGAGGCAGTCGACGGTTTATGGGTAGTGGGACGGATGAAGTGAAACATCTGAGGTCTGTAACGATTAGCAGTAAATTGTCCAGTACATTTGTAAGACTGAGCAACCTACTTATAGTTGTGTTCTATTCAATAGATTACGAAGCGTTCGGAACGTCAAAATGTTCTTTTACTGGATGATTGACGCAGTTTGTTTTGCATTACCCGTTTTTTGATGAAATGAATCAGGAGTTTAAGTAAACACATGGTTGGTGTGTGGGCTGCCATCTGCCATGACTTCAGATGACCGGGTATTTCTCTTATCTCCATCGAAACAGACGCACTCTGAATGAATCGACCGATACCGAGGCTGTTCCAGATGTTGACTAGACGAGTCGCACTGTGCTCATTACGGTACGCGTTGACTCTGGTTGTTTGCGTACTGTCCTACACACGGAGGCCACAGAGGCTGTATGTTCAGAACGTGTTTTGCACGTCTACCGGATGAATAAGGGCTGAAACTTGTGCAATCTCAAAATGTTTCTCTGACAAACACGTTCGAGCACAAATAGTTACAAGTATGCACAGTAGTACACAACACTATCCGGGCATTTTGTTAGTACGACGTTCGAAATGGAATTCACCGGTAAACTAGACCTTTTAATCAGCACACTGTCATCCGATTCTGCCAGCGTTGTTTAGGTCCCCATCTTACAATAGCAACTACATTTGAAAATTGCTCCACCCGTTTTTCAAATCTTGGAAACAGAGTTTACAGCTTAGTGTGTGTATTGGCACAGTTCTTTCTTCCTCAAACGTTTTGGTGTGAAACGATGGCGGTTCCTGTCCTGCGGTTGTTCGAAATGGACAGATCTGATTAATTCATGATGCTTTTCAGCCTAGCCAACAGGTATTTGGTCACCAGGATTTGAATTTATATGTACTCGAGTTTCACGAAGTTATGTACGATTTGGCATAATGTTATAGGAGAATGGTGGTAGCTCAAATAGTCTAGTCTAGATGTGTCCTTTGGACTGGACGCTTCGATTGCAAACGTTCCATCACCATCATCGATTTGGTCATGATTGACACCAGTACGCCGGCTGAAGGCATTAAGGGCTTCTCAGGGGCGGAGTGGAGCGCAGCAATCGGTCAGTGGTTGTGCTTTGAGTGGTGGTGCGTGTGTCAATTTACGCGCTGCGGTTGACCTTCGATCACGATTGTTTGTCCGGTTGGTTCGTTGTTCTGTGTCCTGATTGGTTAGTGATCACGTGACCGTTCGGCTTGGCCTCCTGCTTATGTCTCTCCCTGACTATTCTGGGTTCCACTTTTTAACTTTGCTAATGCATTTCCAAGAAGTTTCTCTTTTCTTGGTTTGTAAATCAGGGACGGCTTCAACGATTAACTTTAAGATTGTTCGTTGGGGAGTCAGGTGAGGATGTCCAATCGGCTGCCGGTCCAAAACCCCTTGTCTTTGTCCCGTCTGTTGCGTGTACCAGTATATTCTGGCTCTCCGAATTCTGCCAAACACTAGGGCATTTTACGATATTATCCACATGTTTGACAAAGTGTGAATTTACTTAAAGAAGCCTTTTCATTCTCCCGAAAGGTTGTTTTGAGAATCCCCGCTAAAGAAGGGTTATTTTGGCGCTGTAGATGCTTCGTCAGTCCTCTAAAAGTGGATTCACTCGAACTGTCCGGGGGTTTTGTTTCGTCGCGACTCCAGAAGACCACCTTCCTAGACGATCCGTGGCGTCTGGTTTTTCTCTCACACTAGAGTTTCACTTCGTATTGTGAGAATGGAATGTGAGACGGTGTCGCCATAAGTCTGAGAGCTCACCTCATAATGAAGTGCATACCACGTCCATATAAATCTCTTCTAGATAGTAGCATCCTAGTCTTGGTACGATTCCACCGACCAACTCACACCAAAGGAGAAACACCTATACGGATTTCCACTCGGATGAAACTTCGTTCGTGTTACGTTTAGACCTCCGAGCAAACGTTGTGTGATTACTTCACGAACCCAAATGACCTTCCTTAACTTTTTAGTATTCTTGTCCTTGAGAAATATCTATATAAATTGTTCAACTGGAGTTTACCTTATTTTTGAGGTATCTAATCACCGACTTCGCCAGAATGTAGGCATGTGGGGGAAGTCTTAATGTGAAACTGGGGAGCCAGGTTTCTTTGTAAATGAATCCCCAGGTTCTTTTGGTACAAAGCAACTCCTACCGTCGATTACTATCACTGCCACCTAAATGGTTCCCTTAGCAACCAGTGATCTTTCTAAACGGAACCTTCCCGGGTTCCCACTTGGACTGTCTCTGATGTTTTGTTATTGTCAGGAAGCGTTTTATAGGACGTCTACTTTGAATACTACCGTGACATTTAACTCCTGTAGTTTTGTTTTTTATTGCAGCTATTGTTCTTAGGGGGTGCACTTTTTTAGTTACACATCCTCGTAGATTGCGATTTTGTTACCCATCTGAGTTTTTACTTTTTCTGTTGATTTCAGCACTCATGCGAACAATGCTGTCACAGGCGTCACGGAAGTTTTTGACCAACATGCCGTTGAGGCCACAGTGTCTCAGACACAGACTGTTCCGGGGGATGTGGGTGAATTTTTCGCGCCAAAAGAATGTAGATTACAGAAAAAGACCAAAAAGTCACCCAGAGATCCTAAGCACAAACTTTCGAGCGCTTCTAAAAGTTTACTTTCATCTGATCTCACAGATACCTCCAAGGAATTGGAGTTTGAACATGGTGAATGCGCTTCTCTGAGCGAACCAGAATCCGTGGACTTGTCACATGTGCCCGCGATGCCCTCTCAGTTGGACATCGGTATGTTATTGGATCGGCCGTCGGAAACATCCAGTAGCACAAAGGCCCAGGCAGAGTTCCCGGGCGATGCAGCCCTTGAGTTTCGACAGCCTTTCTCTTCTGACCCACAAGTGCATACGACCTTTGCTGACGATCCTGTGGACATCCCTATATTCAGCGAAAGAGAAGAGTCAACGTTCACCAATGTAGTGAAATCATCCAAACGGAAACGCTCCACAAGCAAAAGTAAAGAAAAACGGAAACAGAGGCTCAGAGGAGCACGCAGTGAGAGTGACAAAAACAGTACTGAAGAAATTTCGACAGTAGAAACTCCATCAGTGACAGAATTTTTGTCACAATTGGTCAACCAGAACCCAGTACATTCTGACCCACAAGTGCATACGACCTTTGCTGACGATCCTGTGGACATCCCTATATTCAGCGAAAGAGAAGAGTCAACGTTCACCAATGTAGTGAAATCATCCAAACGGAAACGCTCCACAAGCAAAAGTAAAGAAAAACGGAAACAGAGGCTCAGAGTAGCACGCAGTGAGAGTGACAAAAACAGTACTGAAGAAATTTCGACAGTAGAAACTCCATCAGTGACAGAATTTCCGTCACAATTGGTCAACCAGAACTCCGGTACATTGGAATCTGCAGAACTATATGTTTCCTGTCAACTACCAGTTTTTCAAATCCCAGATATGCCCACAATCCCCGATGATGTGACTGCTGAACACAATGGAGTTGAGAAAAGGGAAACCGACCACCAAAGTAGAGATATTTTTGGAGAGGAACAATCCACAGAAGAGCAGTCCAAAGGAGGTAAAGAAAAACGCGAACATGAAGATGAAGTGCCGCCCACCGCACCTGATAACGGGAATATTACGTATGAAGACAATTTATTCTTCGAATCTGCCCGGTCAGCGGAACTTGGACCAGAAAATATGAATATAGCTGATGTGGCAATGATTTCTTCGGAATGTGAATATGTTATCGACCAATCAGTTACCAATCTGGGGGAGAACGAAATCGTGGGAAATGCTGTGGAACCTAATGGAGCGGAAAAGACAAAACCTGCAGTGGATTTGAAACAAACCAAAGACAAAGCTAAACAGAAAGGTAAGCACAGAGCCGATGGATCGCGCTCCGCATCCGAGAGTGAAAACCTGCAGAGTGATAAACTTCCGCCAGAGGCAGCCTCAACAACAGCAATTAGTGTGGAATTTGAGCCGATGAGTACAGATCACATAACAACGGTGCAAGTTGAAAGTGAAAAAGCTGAATTTGCTAGGCCTAAATCTCCTGCAGATGTGAGTTCAGATGTGTATCACATTTCAAGTGATATTCCCCCTGAGAGTAACGACACAAGTGAAGCGGAACAAACGATAAGCGCAATACCAAAAGGGCATAAATCCAAGCAGCTCAAAGTCAAAAGTAAGGAAAAGGGGAAGAAAAAGGGTGAAGTTTTGCTGTCTGCATCCGAAAGTGAACGTAGCAGAGATGGAGAAATTTTGACAGCCCTTCCAGTGACAGAAGATATGGAGAAACAAAAGAAGACGGAACCGTTTGAATCTACGGAAGACGTCCCTCCTTTACTGACTGGTTCGACTCTTGGTGACGTGTCATTGGATCGCGGAAGCTCTAGCCATCCCGAAGAGCTGAATTTTCTGAAGACACCAGGTACAGAACAAAAGATATCTAAGCAGAAGCATCGCAAGACCACAAAGAGTAAGGAAAGTAATGACCAAAACGAAGAAGTTCCACGCACCACGCCTGACAGTGAAAGCTTTGGTCTCGAAGAAGTAATGGATCTTCCAGCTATAGATAAAGAAACAGGACAGACAAGTACAGAACTCCTTGAATTTGCAGAACCCATCACTTTTTCGAATGAATCGTTGACCAGTGTGACCTCTAGTGGTGTAGTCTCAGATCACAAAGCCAAACGTAAGAGGAAAGTTAAAAACAAGGGTGAGATTTTACTGTCTGCATCTGAAACCGAAAAGAGCGGGCCTGAGGACGTTTCTGCAATCACGGGCCCTCTCGTGTCAAATCAGAGATTAGCGGATGTAGAAATGGAACAAGAAACTACTGCATGTCTTGAACTTGCTGAAACTCCTTTTCCGCGTTACGGGTCACCCACCGATTTGAACTTGGATACACATACAAGCCGCGACGGCATAGTTTCAGATAGCATATTTCCTTGCCCGGAGTTAGGGGATACAAATGAGTGGAAGTATCCGAAAACGAAGGGAAAAAGAAAGCCTAAACAGACCAAAGCGCACACTTCGCTAGAGAGTGAGGAAAGAGAGATTCCAGCGTCTCCTATCCTGATGGAACTCAGACCAGATGTGGGAGATTCACATACAACTGCACAGTTTGAGTTTATCGAGGGATTGGCTTCCATACACCAGCCATCAAATCAACCGATTCCAGCTATCACCGAACATACTGAGGATTTTTTCAAGTTGGAATCATCAGAGAGTTCAAAAGCAACAAGTATAGAGCAGAAGCGCCCCACGATAAAACGTGGCGGACTGAAAGGCGAAAGGAACGAGGAACATACAGAGAACATTCCACGCACGGTGCATGAAAGTGAGCCTGGCCCTTCCGAGGGGCCATCATCTGTCGCAGCTCCTTTAATGACAGAAATGGAACTAGGAGTGATGGATGTGCCTCAAGACCACAAGAAACCACGTGCGAGAAAACGCTCAAGGTCAGTTCCGAAACAACATCCTCAACAGGAAGAAATCTGTCTGAGTCAGGACAGTGAAAGCTTGATGGCACCGCGAATGGAAGCGGAGATTGTAGAAACGGAACCTTCTGGAAAATCGGAGAAAACTAAAGTTCAGAAGAGGGAATATAAAAACGGGTCTGCGATAATATCCAAAAGTAAAAAGGATAAAGCCAAAATCATTCAACCCCCTGCAAATGTGAAGACTGATACTAGTTCACAACTCTCAGCGGAATTTTCTGTGAGTGAAACACAACAAGGAGGGGAAGCCTATCCCGGTGAAAAAGGGTCAAAGAGTGGGACCAAGCGGAAGCGGAAAACAGACCAATCAAGTCATATTGAAACGGATTCGAGATCAAAGGCTCCAAAGACTAAACCGTCCAAGGCGCATGAAGATTCTGGTCCCTCAGTGCAAGGAGGTGCGATTACCGGTACAGCTTCAACTGTGAATAATGAATCTGTAAGTGCATTGAAGGATGCGACCCAGGAATCGGTCTGCTCCAGTTGTCGACCAGTAACCACCCCCAAAGACATTAATCCAGATGCATTGTTTTCACGCATTCCGTTTTGGATGCGTATAAGAAAGAAACAGTCAGTAATCAGAAGACGCAGAGTAATGCGCAAAATTGATATGAAGCGGAAACGTGAGGCCCACCGCGAACAGTTGACGGATGATGCATCAACCCAGATGGTGACCCACAGATTCCCACGCAGTTTTGAAACTCAAGTAAGTTATTCCAGTTGGATAGATGATTTTGGTCACTGTAATGAGAGAAATTTTTGACAGTGGAAAGATTCATTCAGCCTAAAAGTCTTCCATTCCAAGCGCATCCAGGTAGTCGGACGAACATAATTACGGGTTTTCTGCCCCCACCCTCAGGTTGCGTCGCCACTCTGGTAAGGAATTGCTCGAAATTGTCCATGGACCTTCGCCTTGAACACCACGGAAACTTTTGGTTAGTTCATCTCACGTTAAAACCTCGGATCTAGGGAAATCTTATCTTAGAATAACGCATCGCGTCTCTCTTCAAATTTTGATGTTCATAGGTCGATACTGCTGCAACTGCCTCGGGATCGGCTAAACGAACTTGAACGTCAGCCAAACTCCGAAAACTGTCATCCTGTGGTGGAGTGGGAATCGATGCAATTGATATGTCCACAAAAGGCATAATGAGTTGTGAGTTAGGAAAGTGGTACATTTCGTTGCCGTCGGGCGCGGCAATTCGCAATCCCCGAATTATTCGCTGAGATCGATCTGAACAGCTTTCAGTTTGCGCATTTACTAAGTGTCCTCTGTGACGGAAGAGGTAGCCGACGTGTGTATCCTTGTACTAGACAGATCTTTTTGTTTATAGCCCCTCTGCCTCTGCAAGATCCTTTTTTGTCCACATTGGGTGCAACTGTGGGATCTGGATTTTTTCATCGTGCAAAAAGGAAACATTTCTATAATAACAAGTCTCGTAATTAGACTATCTTATAGCATGAACGGTCAAATATCTCACGGTATTCTTACAGGTATTTACCTTCAGAGCAAAGCACTTTGGTCATCTGGCTTTCGCTGCGGAGTTATTTATTAAAAATTACCAACTGAACAGTTACAGACTATTGGACGGGGGACTGTAACTCTCATATGCATCTTATTTACAAAGCGGAATATCCATCTTCTCCTTGAACGCGTCCTCTTGAACTTTCCTGGATATTTATTGACTGTTACTCAGTTGCAAACATATGCGACTCAACAAATTCCGTAGTAGAGAGAGGCAAAGCGGATTTACGAGAACACATACTACTCGTACGCCCCCCAATCAGCAGTATCACCGTCACACTGGTAGTGCTTGATGGACATCGTGTATTTGAAAACAATTTTGGTATCCTTTTTTTTACAGTCATCAGGCTGATTTGTGGATCAATCACACGAGTGAGATTGGAACGATTGGGCTTATTGTGGGTGGATGGTTTGTGGGGGGAGGCGGTGCACAAACTTCCAACCGAGCAATAAACACTCGCGAAAGTTCTCTTCTTCGAGTAGACTTGTAGTCCACTTGGCTAGAACACCGCGAGGGACTTCCGGGGAGCCATAGTCTGAAACTTACCACTCCACGGCAACACCACCACCACCACCAGTAATATTGTGTTCATGGGTTCCGGCTTCCACGGATTTAGTTCTGGGAAAAGGGACTACCCGATTGCCGACTGAAGACAGTAGCTGATGTCGCTGGTAAATGAGTCCAGTGGTTGAAGTATGCTTTTAGTTTGTCGGGAAGTCAGGTGAGGCTGTGCTTTATATGGAATCATTCTCGTCATGAACCACATGGCTGAGCTACTCTGGCCAATACCTCCAACTATGTATTTATCCTAGGTTAAGTTCCCAGGCCAGGTGTTCTTGGTCTGTCCTCGCTTCTTTCTGTTCACCAAATGACTGCGTGAAGTCACACACTGAAATATGAAGCGAAGTAACATGCCAGTATGTCAGCAACTCATCTATCATGTACCGGTTACTTCCGTCGAAACCTAGTTAGGATATTTCCGCCCTGTAAATGAAGTCAGTCAGTCGAAAACATCTTACTTTCGATCTATCCTTAATGCGAAACACCAACAGAACGAAACTCATGGAATTCGAGCGAGTTCCGAATTAGCGCCCTTCCGGGATTTTAGATCCCATCTCCGTCGCCAGTATTGTAGTTCACAGTAAGTCCGAAAAACCGGTAAGTAATGACAAAGCAATCAGTGGAGTCATATATCCAGTCAACACACAACGCTCACGCCAGCAAATAAATCGGACACGCACCCAATCAGTCACTCAAATCGCACGCCAGATCGATGATGGAACGACGAACGGGCACGCACACGCGCAACTCTCTGACACATCAAAGCAGCTACTACAGAGCATAACCGTCCAAGCGCAGCGCTCACCGAAGCCATTTAGGGTGGCCTTGTATGGGCTAGCTCCTCGAGTGGCGACTTTCAGGAGAGAGTTTCACTAGAGTGACTTTAACTTGCGATCTCCCATTTGGTAGTTTAGCCCCCAGCCACTTGGTTACATGCACCTGTTCAGCAGTGCGATTAACTCATACTTTGAGAAGATATAGGGAAGAGATGATATATAGGAAATCATCCACGAACCACGGAATTCAGTCACCTGGTCACGTGTTGACCGGTTTCTCTAATGACGACTTCTCAGGCGGAAGGTTTACTCGTGTGAACAATTCATCCTCCTGAGCGATTTATAGTCGGTTGATAGCGGAGTCAGATCCGTCTCGAGGTCTGCCGTTTACGCAACCGCTGTCTGTGAGCGGACACCTGGAGAGCACCTCAATACAATGACTGTCAGAAACTGGGAGCGAGTCTTCCATGGCACAGAGTAAAAGAAACAGAGACTGGCCAATTGCAACGCCACTGGATGTAGCGGACTCAACTGGAATCCTACCCTGGACGTTCACTCGTCTGCGGGTTTCGGTGTGTAGAACATAACCGGCTCAGGGATTTGAGTAGGACGCCTATAGCCCAAAGATAATCTCACAGAGATAAAGCCTGCCTTAAGTGTGAGGTGGGAGAACACTGTGTATTGTTGAAAGCGGTGTCATTTTTCCAGAACCGATCCTGCACTTTCCTGAAGGGCAGAAAACAACGTGAGTTTTTCTGATTTTTCTCTGCCACTGCTCAGTCAGCCTGTAACGGATAAACTCAGGAAATGCCGTGGGTACCACAATCATCATGGTTATGTCATTAGGGTATTCGCAATGGTCGTATGTGATCGGATTCTGGCGCTAACCAAGTACAAAGTGACACTCATCAGTGCATCTCAAATCCTGACGCCGACCCTACGCGGTCCCGTAACAATTTCCCGAAATACGTCCCGCAGCTAATTGATATCAGTCTCCTGGTCGTTACTCACCTGAACTGTGATTTTTTTCTCGAACAGGGCACGATATTCAGTTGTGAATCAAACAAAGCTGGGCTTTTGTGATACTTCCGTCCTTCTACAACCATCAATTTCCGTGATTTATAAGGCGCGATTGATCGAACATCCTCGTTACAAACAGTTAACAGTACTTGAATTGGGCTTTTACGGCAGTGAAGCACCGGTGTTGAACACCGATGTCATGCTGTCGATGATGGTGATGATACTGATGAATTGGACCTTGTGAGCATCTTTTCCTTACTTGTGTCAGCTGCAGTAAACCCATTTTAATTGACTCGACTACACACCAAAATTAAGTGCGGCTATCGTGAACACCAGTGGTGGAAACGGATGTTTGACAGTCACAAGCCACAGGAGCAGTTCGAGTAAACGATTAGAAGAGAGTTAAGGAGCGGATACCTAGAGAAAAGAGGCCTGTGGCCCTAGGGAAGTTGCCTAGAGGCAAAATATCAGCACCATTAAAACCCGTTGAAATAAGCCCAACTAAAAAATCATGTTGCATGGAGACATCATTGCTGAGGTAGACTCAACATACTTTGCTAACCTAAACAAGTGCAGGACACAGCCACAGATCACCAGTGGCTAGTGCGTTCGGCCAGACAATGATGGTAGACCTTTTACTGAGACAGCCCAAGTGTCATATCTTGTAACCAGCCGCTTGCTTAGACAGTTAAATGTACCCCTTATAGAGAAGCGCAAGGAAATAAAGGATTTCAAAGACGGCTTTCCTTCAACTTCAGAAGTGCATAGGTCCCCAAACTTTCTCAACAGGAGTGTAGAGTTGACATAAATTAGTCCGGTACTCGGTGATCAAGTATTGGCAGTGAATTTAACCAGACAAGCCTTGTGTGTTGCTCAAAAGATTCTGAAGGCACTGCAAAAGCAGTTGTGATAAAGCATCTTGAGACATTTACAGTATTCGCATGGTGGAGATTGTTTAAGCATAGTAGCCCACGCCTCGTGTTCAATAAGACCGTCACTATCAAATAGCGTTGCATTCTTGTATCAGCTCGACCCGGAATGAGGGAGCACCGACTTCGAGAGCAGATGAGTCAGTTGAGGTACTCTCCCACACTGTTCCATTTTCGAGGACCATTTCAAGAAACCAATCAAAGGGGCACTTGCCTTGAAATACAGAAGCCAGCTGGTCCAATGAGTACCTATTTTAAGTACAGCTGTATTATACTAAAGTATTGATCGTGAGCTATTACCAAGCGGCTGATCCAGGCGCGATAAAACTAAAGGACGGATGTTTACCGGGCGAGGAGTTGATCCTAGCAGTTTGGTGCCAACAGACAATCACTTGACCACTGGAAAACGTCTTCTTGATTTGTTTTCACAGAGAACCGACTGTACGTCGGCGTCACTTCATATTGTCCTCTATTGCTCTGTGAGACAACGCGAAAGCGCCGAGGAGGCGTGCTTATTCTCGGTCGAATCGCTCGACTATTGTGATTGCGAATGTGCCCTCACTGATGTTAGTTTAGTGAGCGGTGTACCACGAGTCAAACGGTGACGTTATCAAAACAGTCTCGTCAATTATTAGTCTGATGGTAAGGTAACAGCACAACCATTCAGCTTTCAGGTGAATATGATGGACTAGTTGTTTGTGGATGGAATAGGCAAACATGAATCCAAGGAAGCTCCATTATGCATTCCTACACAGTCGGCGTGTAATATGATCTGTGCCGTTTGTACTCTGGAGACCAAGCCAGTTCATCGGATATAAACCAGAAATGGGCGAAAATGAAGGCTCGAATCAATATTTTCCGGTAGTATTATGTTAACGATTTCGGACTTTCGATAGTCTCCGTGGTTGACGCAATAAAGTACCTCTTGCACGTTTCTTTGCGGGTAAACTAAACCAGTTCCGTCCATACCCAACTATCAGACTTTCTACAACCTTAGGGATTTAAACATGGCAGTGCATGACTTTTCAACACATGTTGGATGCTAATTTGACATTTTTCAATCCTGTTGGAAAAGTTTTTCGAAGATACACGCCACCTTGCTATCTCCCCCTTTACCATAAAGCCAAATCCAGAAAAAAGCAAATCACAAGTCCGTAAACGGCGCCGTGCTGTTGAACGTCTGGTCAAGTACAGGGCAGACCAAGTCAATCGGGTTCAACGCCCGAAAACAAAGAAAAAAGCCAAGAGGCGTCTCACTGCGCTGGATCGATGGAAGGTTCGTTCAAGTCTTCGAAAGCGTGGCGTTATTGTTATTTTGCTTGGTGGCAGACATCGTGGAAAGCGCGTCGTCAGTTTGGGTCGACAAAAGTCCACGGGACTACTCTTGGTCACTGGCCCCTTTCGGTACAATGGATGTCCTTTGCGACGAGTTCATCCCAATATGGTACTGGCAACAGAGACACGAGTGGATCTCGGAAAGGTAAGATTACCATTGGTTACTGTTTCGTTTGTCTATTTAATTTAAACTCTAGAAAGTCCCCTTGCAGACATGATTCCAGTGTACCAAGCATGTTCATTGCCATCTTTCTTCTCACTGCCTGAGTTGATCGTCAGAAGCTCGAAAGTGCTGCCAAAGACCATTTCTTCGCATCCAGCCAGAAGTAAACCTGCTTCATAAGTGGAACAGACGGCCCTTTTGAGCGTATCAGAACGCTTCTACTCCAAATACCGTCCTTTTAGGCTAGTGCTGCCCGGCGTCGGTTGGCGAGCATAGAAAAGTGGATGGTTGCGACTTGTCTATATATGTAGATAACACCACTGAGACAGTTTTAGATGTCTACAGATCTCAGAACGTTTTCGTTCATTACATTTGGGCTGGACCTCTTACTAAGCGTACGAAGTTGGGCCTGTCAGCAGGTGCGAGGGGCCTAACCAGGCTGCAGGAGTATCACATAACAGTCTACAGTTATTATTTAAAAAATTAAGTCGTTCAGCTGTAGCACCATTTCTGTTCCTAGCTGACATGCCACCAGAAGGAAGCACGAGGGCTGGAATACTCACAAGGTGCCCAAGCCAAGAGAGAGGAAGTCAAGTAGTAGAAGTCGGGTTCGAACAACGGACCTTTCCAAGCTTACACTTTATAGTTCGTCTCTACGTGAGCTAGAAGACGATTCTCAGAAACGAACCTAGTCACGTCCACACTTGTCTTTTGAATGTGCCTTGCTTCTGGCCTCTCAGTGTTTGGTGTTATCAGCCCTCAACGAGTGACCGTGTTGGTTTTAGGATTGCTTTCATCGGTTCGCGCATCCATCTACGTTTATTACGAGGAAGCAAGGCGCATTCAAAAACGTGACTTAACACGTTCCAAGTTGTTCGCCATATCCAGATGTTCAAAGAAGCACTGGGTTACGACATCGTACTCCCAACACAGATGCCTACAAATCATTATTGCGTCACGCTGATATGCGAATGCCACAGTATGTGCAATTCGGTTTCCGCTAACGCGAGGATAATTTGCCCGTTTATTCCCAAACACCTACGGTTGTACGGGTTGTCCAAGATTCGAACTTTCTCCATAAAACTCAGCGTCTCTTGTTTAGGGTTCACTGTGAACAACCTATTCAATACTCGTAGACGATCCTGTGAGTTGGTGCCAAACGTACGTTTGCCCTCTAAGACATACTTCAATGAGAAATAGCTGATATAAAATGTAAGAGTGGTATTCTACGGTGTAGAGCACCACATCGTGTCCGATTAATAATTGCACAATGGGAAACTAAGGATTTACCATCCAAAAAAGTCCGGGTTACTTTATGGAGATTTCGCGCCTTCTGGAGTGATTTACGGCCTGATCACTTTCTGTCCCATTAGAAACACGACCGCTTTTCCGAGAGTGATGGCCGTTTATATCCTAACTAACATTACTAAGAGTACAAATTTAGTAAAGAGGGAGTTGCTGCAATGGGGATGCTAGATAAATGTGAAATCAAAAATTAATTGGATACTAAATATTTCACTCACCTGCAAATTACGGCTTATCTCCTTTTGAACATCAGGTGCTTATCTGAATATAGCGATGCAAACGAAATGAAAAGATAAAGGAGACTACTCACGAGGTTGCTGAAAACTCTCCGACAGTCCACGACCGGTTTCGCCCTTCTTGGGTCTCATTAGGTATGCGCGGTCCCCGTCTACCTTCTGATCTACT